CAAATAAAATGTAAATTTAGTAGTCCAACAGTGAGCGCCGCAGAATAGAAATAACGAAACAAAATAAAATTCTATAAAAAATATCAACGAATCGAGAGAGCGAAGAATACAAGATAAATAAAAACAAAAGCCGGCCGCAATAAATAAAAAAAACAAAACAAAGCCCGAGATCGACTCGAGGCGGCAATAAAAATTTGTCGACTGTGTCAGCGATCAAAAGCGTTCAAAAAGCACGTGGGGGCGTAACGAATAGCCACCACATAGAGGCAGAAAGAGACGGGTAGAGGGGTCAGTAAAAGAGACGACAAGCGTGGCGAAGAAGCAGAACTGATGCACCAAGCGTTACACTTGCTGTTAATGAATGAAAACGAAGTGCAGTTGAATGGAGCCGGGAAATGAAGTGAAAACAATTCACAACCCCATAAAAATCGAGTTAAAAGAGCACAACTAAGTACTCATTTCACGCTATAACGTGAAAATTGCACAAAATTAGAGGGTAATCTTAAAATGTTTACATATAATGTCAAGGAATCATTAAAATTTGTATCCTGACAAATTCAAAAAAACATTTCTTTTCTTGGAAATTATTTCTTGTATGAAAAATAAATATATTGTTCTAGAAACTCATTTGCTGGGTTGGTTTACTATAGGGTTATAAAATAAAGGACTATATTTGATAAAAATATATTTAAATTTACTGTAACTAAGGTACAGAAAATCAGTGTCCTCAAAATTATGGGATAAAACATATTTATTAGATTAATTTGAGTTGCATACGCTTCAATTTCTTAATAAGTCAGGATAGGAAATTGATGATAGCGTATGTTTTAATAACACCTCAAAAACGACAGATTAGAAAATATATATAATCAAAAGTTAAATATACAGTTCTGCTTAATTGTTTAAACAATTCGAAACCATAGAATTTTTACTTCGAGTGCTTGATGCACTTGATTCAACATAGTTCTACAATTATTATAATTAAATTCATGCCGAAAGCCTGATCTTGAGCTGCCCACTCATGCGAGACGAATGCTATTATGAAACCGCTCCAATAACTTAGATAATGCTACGGACCGCCTCGATCTGTCTGGCTGCTACAGATACCGTTACTTTGGCGACTGCACTACAATGACAACGCGAAAACCTGTTACACTTTTGACCAAGTTTTGTCCGCTTGCTGCTGACTCATAAAAAATAAAAAAACGGGCGTGCGACGATCTTGCTAATTGCTGGGGGCAGAAAAGCGAGGGGAGATACTTGGGACTCGTGTGACTGACACCTGCGATTAGCTTTTAGCCCCCGCTTTTTACCACCACACCGCACCCCCTTCAAGCTCCCTAATCGTTGAACCGAATAATTTGCATGAAACTTGGCTTAAACGTTTCACTCAACACAAAAAGTGAGAGAGAGAGAGCAATAAAGTTTCGGTCATTCACATTGCCGCAGGTTTTGTTGGCGTTTGTTTATCTTTGGCTCTTTCATCTCGAGCTGTGAACTTGTCAGTTACAGCAAATTTGCATTGTGTTAATTTAAAATATTCAATTTACTCGTTTGCTAATTTTATTTGGAAGCACTTTGAAATTTGCAAAACTGGTACATGAATTTTAAAGAGCATTTTAACGATACTCGACCCGGATTTAATTGGCTTTCGGCAGCACCTATGCGAATTAAACAAAAGTTTTAAATACCTAAATTATATACGAAAAATCGTTAGTTAATTGACAATTTATAAGCAATTTGCGTTCCAAAGCTATTACGCAAAAAATAATCTTATCTTGAGTATCTTATTTTTCAATTTGACGAACTTAATTGTGGATAATTTATCATTGAACACTTTGAAAGTAAGAGGTAACCTATATACATTTTATATAATTTCAGGGAGCGTCTATTTGGATTGGCTAAGGAATTTAAATAAGGTTTTCTATCGTCGGTTTTATCAAGGCGATCATAAGTAGAGAGAGATAGCAAGAACTGGAGGCGGAAAGGCAATTTTTTAAATCAACTTTAATTGAAATAAATTGTCAAATCATTTGCCCTGGAAATGGAAATGGACTCAATTAGATGCGGGCCTTATGCGCTCTACTCTACATTACTTTGCCTATTCTAAAATATGTTCGTTCTCATTCCCCGCCCCTGGAAAATTATAAAGCACCATCAATCAAGGGGGGAAAATGAGAAATTGAAATATGACAAGAACCTATCCAATCAGTCGAGGGATTGATGACCACTCTGGGTAATGGGAAAGATGGAAAATCTACTTAAGAAATTGTCGGACACATGCCTACATAAATGTAAAACTAATTGAGTGAAAGTCATTTTGTACATGAAAATCATTCGAGATGCCGAACAACCTTCAAAGCGCTATAAACACAAAATAAACATAATTAATAGCAGACATAAAAACCGAAAGAAATAAAGAGAGAGATATCTGGTTAGATACAGTGCGTTGCATGATTTTAAGTTAATTTAAATGTTGAAATCAAAGAGATAGTTGAATTTAATTTTAGAGATATTATTAATATTGTTTGGCCATTTATTAATTTGAAATGTTTGTCTTAGTTCAAAAACCTTCAAGTTTATATGACTTTTATTGTGTAAGAGCCCATCTTACAATCCCAAAATCCACTGTGCAAATGCTTTAATCTGTTTGGATTGAAATACAAAATCTTGACCAAAACTTTGCGGTTAACTGCGCACGCACAATGGACTTCCTCTGATCTCTCTTCCTCCCAAAATCTCCGTCTCCCCATAAAAACCACATCTGAAATACAATTTATGCCAGCTGCCGTCGACGTATAACCGTTTTATGCAATTTATGTGCAATTTTTCAATTGAAAAATCGGCGGACCAGGCCAGGAAGGTTTCACTTAATGCGACGCAATTTCAGTTTTATAAAATATTTTCCTCTCTCTGTTCGTTCGGGGATTTATTTCGCATGTGCGAAACGTTTTGAAATTTTAGTAACTACTGCTACACGATGACAGCTAGGCGAACTTTTAATTGCAATTAATTTGAGTGACATTTGCGAATAAACTGAAACTACAAATCGATTCAGGGCGGTGACGACATTGAGAAATTGCAAAATTATTGGAAATATTATGGTTGTCGTCAAGAAAGTTTATACGTTTTTAAATTATGTGCCAATAAGGCAAGCTCGTGAAAAATAATATGTATTTCTAAGAATTATTTAATATACAGTATAAACTGACTGGAATATTACGAAAACATTACTTAAATGGTATTCCTTTTAAATTAAAATCAACTATATTTATATTCAAGCATCCTTTTAAAAAGCAAATGGTAATTTAAATCTGGAAAAAATTAACGTTTTTTTTTTTTACAAATTTGTGATCCTTAAACATCTTGTAGATGTGGACCTATTTATATTTGCCTAACTAGACCATTAACGTTCAAGTGCGTATCCATTCATTTTTCATACATACAAACTCCAAAAAGACTCGTTCTGGCTTAACCAACCAATTCAATGTCAAATCACCGGTCTGACATCATTAAAACCCCATCGTTAACCACAACAGCAGCTTCTAGCGCCATTCATCAAAATCTGGTCTATGTTTAGGACAGGCCAACTTCCTTATCAATCATACGGCATTAAAGTAGTTTTTACCCATACAATTTGCATATCAAACGTACCTGCAAAGAAAAGAGAAGAGAAGACAAATGAAATAAATTAATAAAAATCGAAATATATTCGCAGACGTGGGAAAATATGCTGAAGATACAAGCCAGAAAAAAAAGTCATTCTTGTTAACACATTGAGGGTATCAAATGAACAGGCAATAAATTGGGGCCAGATAATTATATAATGTCGGGGGCATTAAGAATATATTGTGTATTGTATATGTATCAGAATTTAATGAGAAAAACAACCATAAACACGGCCAAAGTCAAGTGGAAGTCGAGAGAAAAGAAAATCCGAAATCTTAAATCCAAAAAGCCGCAAATTCGACCCGCATTTTTGGTTTGGCTATCAAATTACCCCCCTTTCGCCGCGGCAAACAATTGTTCCGCATAAAAAAATAGAGAAAACGAAGACAAAGTCAACATTTGGCTCTAAGAGGGGTTTATCTTTTTCTTCTTTTTTTGGGGGGGAACCTCACACACGTGTGACTACAACATTTAACATTATTTGTTGTCGTCTAAGCAAACAGGTAAACAAACAGAGACAGAAACAGCGACTAGAAAGGGAGAGGTGTGTAAAACAGAGAGTTTGACTAATAAGGATTTTAGCACGAGCTAAGATTCGCCTTAAATCGAGAGTAAAACACACATAGACTGTGACTCCGGATGAAAGAAAAAGCAAATAGTGGCGACAAAAATACAGTGGCCGCTCTTTAAATATTGTACTATTGGTTTAGGACAGCTATCGTATCAGTTCGAAACTTTCTCTGTAATACGCGAGCAAGGTATTTTTGTTTAACATAAAACTGCTTTGTTTCAATCATATAATTATTGTGGAATTTAATTTGTTTTTGTTTTTAACAAAGTGTCATCTGCAAAGACTGTGAAATTATTATTTATTTTAATTTACATTTCTCAAGGCATCAATATAGATAACCATAACAGTTCTTATTGTATCTAATATTCTTATTGTGGAATTCTTATTTACTCAGAACAAATATTGTGACCATTATAATTTCCAGGAACTCAAAGTTATCTTTAGGGATTTATTCATATAAAAAAAATGAAATCTTCGACCACAGATATCACTAGTATTTATTTGTAAGATTCGAAAACCAAAGCAATGTTAACATAAGAAGTTTAATGATTATGATATGACTTGAGGAAACTTTCTCTAATGGAGTGACCACTGGTGTAGGTAAAACGGCATTGAAAAGTGCACCTTCGGGCGTCAAACAAGCAGCGTAATAGAGCCGAGTTTGCTTTTTATCGTTGCTTGCCTGTGATATTTACGACTCGCGATGTTTGGCAATGTTTGTTTTTACTGGGGTTTGCTGGAGTTTTTTGTCTTTGCTTACCGGATAATACATTCCTTGCGGAGGAAGAAAAAATGCCCCTGAGCCCCACAGTTTGACGGCTTTTTATGTTCACAGTGGCGTCGCAAATGATGTTACTCCTCTCTTGTTTTGCACTCGACAATTTCTCTGCGTGTATTTGCAGGGGGTTGGCCAACAACAGGGGTAGTTCACTATTTTTCTTTCACTTTATTCTCTGTTTTGCAAATATTTCTCTTGTTTTCAGATATCTATTTGATTTATTTTGATTATTTTCTTAGTTTTTGGCACAATTTTGTTTCTCCTTCTTTTTTTGTTGTAAGATTCACTTTGACTACAAAATAAGTAAGTCAGAAATAAGAAAGAAAAATAAATAATATTTGGAACACGATTTTGCACTTTATAGGATATTATTTCTCAGCACACGCAAAACTATTATATTTTTCAATGTCGCACGTGCGAGCGAGCGAGATGGGGCGCGACTGAGCGAAAAAGAGGGGACGAGAGGCGATATAAAGTACAAATTCTTGTTTGTTGTTTTTATAGGGGTGGCTTTTCGGGCTCCTGGGAAACTGAAAACTCCCTGGATATTTTAATTTTTCGAAACGAAAACAGAACCGAAACAGCAAACCAAAGAGAAATGCGCAAAAAAGACGGCGCAAACGCGAGACAAAAGAGATGATGCGAAAGAGGCGAGCAAGCAAGAGGAAACGAAGAGGGGGCGGCATCGTCAGACAGTTACAGTAAAAACTAATGCAGTTTCGGCGATTATTACGAGTGCTTTGCATCCTGATTTTGGATTGATAGTCTTATATAACGCTTTTTAAGTTTCCTTCTTTGCTTTCTAAATGAATTACAAACAACAGTAAAAAGTTGAATTAAATTGATTTTTTTATTTTTTTTATATTTTCTAATTTGTTCTTTATTTTTCTTAGAAAACGAACTAGTTTCAGAATATAAATTAAGCTGTATCTATTTTTTCTTATTTGCTACAAAAATTAGTGGATTTTTGAACATATTCTTCTAGTTTGAACTTCTTTCTTTGATTACAATAATTGCTTAAATAAAGTTCATAAGACCTTATCTGAACGGAAATTAAGTCAAACGATAATTTCAAACTATGTTGACATTGTAAATACAATGAGAAAAATTTAACAAACATTTTCTAGTTATCAATTTTTCGATAAGAAATCATATCATTTATTTATCATTTGTCCAATAAGTCAATAAATTACATTATTTTTAAATTAAGTTATATATGAAGTTTCAAAAGTTCTGTTAACAATGTTATTCATCGAAATTTGTTAAATTTAAATTTGCTTTTGAACAAGTTTACTTTACAATGTGCCTACTGTAATTTTTGCAAAAAGAACAAGATTAACTCCTTTGAAAGTTCATTTTATTCAACGTTGACTGTATTTTTGTTGTCTGTTTTTCGATATTTGATCACACACAAAGAGGTTTGATTGTCTGCGTTACTACGCATCCCTGAGATACTTTTTTTCGCGCGTCTGCACTTTTCCCTAGTGTTCCGTGCGCTTTAACTTATGAAACTGAAATTCATCATCTGGTTATTTGGGTTTATTTCAGGCATTTATTACCGATTTTAATACAATTTTATATATGTTTTGCGAAAAGCGGACAAACAAAGAAGCTGGGAGAGTGAGAGAGCGCCAGATGAGTGGGAAAAATCGAATCAGAATCTTTGGAGAGCGGCCAAAAAGGATGGCAGGATAAACGAGCAGGCGAAACGGAGGCGGCAAAGGCAACAACACAGCAATGGCCACAAAAACATGTGCGCTGTGAATGAATTTTTTTTCGTTACTTTTGTGGGATGCTGCGGGTGCGAAAGAGAAGGGTCGAAAGAACGGACAGGCGAAAAAGAGAAATCACGTCCCTTGCTGCTGCTTCTTCTTCTTCTTCCACCCAGCCGCATGGCATATATATTTATTTATAACTTTTCATTTCATTTATCTGCGCGTTTTCTCGCTATTTTTCGCTTAGCTTATTTCGGCACTGCACTTTTCTCGTTTCAAATATAAAGGGGGGTCTTTCTTTTTCCCTCTCCCGATTTTTCTGTTATTTTGATTTGTATTTTATTTTATACCGTTTTGGCTATTTGTATTTATTCGGTGCGTGCGTGCGTTTTGTTTTCACTTTCAAGCGTGCCGAATTTCCACTGGGAAATACGAAATTACCGCTAGTCCGACACCCACGACTTGTTGCGAAGAGCGAGAGAACGCAACTGCGATTAGAGGTGGAGAACCATCGACGCTGTCAACATCAGTGTAATCGATGTTTTCAACACATCGCTGTTATCGATGTTTGGCCGGGCGTCATCGATGTTTTTCCATCTCCAGCGGAGTGCGCGCAGGAACTTGAGTGGAAGGTTCCATCATAAAGAAATAATATTTAAGTAATAATATTTAAGGTATTGGTGTTCATTTATTTTTTTAAAAGCAAAAAAAAAATATATATAATATAAACATTTTTTTTTAATTTAACCCCTAATTGCTGTACTCTTCCTGGTCGCTTGCACATGTTCGAACAGCTGATATTTTCACCATACTGTTCAAAAACGGGCGTTACGCTCGAGTGAAATTGTTAACAGTCAACAAAAATTGGAGTGGAATGGTAACAGAGCGCAAGGACTGGTGAGCGAGAGAAAGCAACTGCGATAAACGTTTTTTCAGCACTTTCTGTTTGAAAACGCGTTAGGGCATTGCTCACAACTGCGTCGCTGGAGCTGTAAAACCACCGTTAACAGAGCTTGAGTGAGAAGTTAACAGTAAGTAATATTAGACAGCAGCTTAACATATGTTATCGATAACTGTATCGAAATTGTGGGGAATTTTGAAATTCTGATGGCTGTCATTTTAAAAAAAGTGTGTTTTTTTGTAACGGAAAGTTTTGTAAATCTTACATTGACTAAGAATCAATTAAAGTCTTAAAAGAGCAGAAGAAGAGAAAGTTTTGGAGGGGCATAACATTTTTTTAGAAAAGAAAATAATAAGAAAAATTAAGTGTTCCATAAACTAACAGTAAATTTCTCTTTGAGAATTTTCGTTTGTAGTAAAACGACTCTTTCGAAAGTACAAATCCTAACCTTAACCCATTTTACATTAACTTTAACGCCAATATAGTTGTATTTTTGTTGAAGTACAACCTATTAATTAAAAATAATATGTTTTGTTGACCAGCCTTGACCAACCCATATTATATTCATTATTTTAACATTAAACTTTTAATATTTATACTCCTCACATTCAACTTCAGTTTTAAATTCAAACCCAGGCAGCTTTACTGCATCTCATGTTTTTATTGCTGCATTTTGAGTATCTCGCCGTTCTGTTGAAACCTGCAACCCGTTTTGACCATCAAAAAGCCTTCTGGCATTGTCTCAGTTCCGTCAGTTTTCCCCTTTTCCCGCTTTCCACTTTCCCTCCTGATATGACCATCATATAGGATGATCAAACAACGCCGAGGTCCGACAAATCAAAAATGCGCCAAGAGTTGAAAATTCTGCTTTGGCTTTCTGGATGGTAAAGGGAGGACGATATGGTAGTGGCTGGAAAAATGGGTGATAGTCGGGTGGTCCAGTAAAACCAAATCAAAAGTGTCAAGCCTCATTTTCGGTTGTCCAGGACAACGCTTGTCAAGATTGCATTAGCAGCATGTTGTTGGCCAAAAAAGTGGGGAAACGGGGCAATGTTATGGTGAAACTACACAATGAAAAATCACTTAAATTGGTACAAAAGTTTCTAATAATAATAAAAACTTACACAAAAGTTACAAAACGAAAACAAATTTTATACATCAAAATTAATAAATGCAAATAGAATTGGGAGTAAAAAAAATTAGTTTTTTTTTATCAAAAAGGGAGAGTGACTTTAAAAAGTTCAAACAATAATATATAAGCCGTATTTAATTTGTTATACAAATGATTGAAATAATTTATTTTCATTCGGTTCAACTCTAATGCACCTTAATTGATTGAAATCATTAAAACATACAATAATACATATTCTGGGAATAAAAATAGATTTATTTTCAGTGTAAAACTAGCACGACCAACAAATAGTAGGCGTGGTTTATGGGGAGGCTTATTAACGCGACGGACAGCAGCAGGCGTCAGTTTGAAAGTGGAAAACAGGAGGGAAAAGCGGCAGACCGGGGGAATATGCGAAAAAGAGGCGAAAAAGGGGGCTCCTAGATTTGAAATGCAAATGGATTCACCACAAGAGTGAAAGAGAAAGGTGCGGGCAGACAGAAAGAGATAGTCAGTCATAGAAAGTGGGAAAAGTTTTGCACTGCATCCAGACCCAAAAAGCTGCACATGATACGCGCTCATGATTTTCCCCGCCCGGATTTACCACCCGCCACCTGCATAAATGCAAAAATCTCACGGTGGCAACTTTTTAATCCCTTTTGGTCGGCAAATTGTCGCCAACACTCTGAAAAACGGTAGCCGGGCAAAAATGAGCAACGTGCCAGGTTTTTCACCGTTTTCCACGCTTTTCCACCTTTTTTTTTGACTAAGCTGCTTGAGGCAGCAAAAGTATCGCAAAATTGAATGCGGGCGGGTTGAGAAAAAAACGGAGAAAAGGTAAATAATGAACATCTGCCGATAAGTTATGAAAGTATATTAAATATGGTAAGGTAAATATGGGGTTTTCCCTAGGGTAAATCACTTTTAATATGCTTAATGGACATGCGATGAAAAATGACTAGATGGAAGGAAAATATGTATAGTACGCAAATAAAGGAGAACCTTAAAATATGAATAAAATTGATGAATATCAAAATATTATGAAAATTACATCTTCAAGGGATAACAAATGGATTACGTAATATATAAAGTACCAGTATTACACATTTATTAATGTGACAATAATTTTCTAAGCATGTTTTTAAGGCCATATAAAAATATTATTTTAAATATTTGTTTCTTAACAGGGATTCTTATTTAGTTTCATTAAAACCATATTGAAGCTTATTCGCTCATAAAGTCCAAAGTTTCCGCAGCCCTTCAATCGTCAGCCAACCGCAACTTGGGGAAAACTAAAGGAAAATTCTTCACTTATATTTCCCACCCACTGCCATCCCCCTCCTTCCCGCGGGAGCTGACCTGCCTCTGAGTTTGATATATGTAAAGAGAGAAGTGGGGGGAAATGCGGCCAACTAACCGCAAACAATAACAAACGATGGCCAAAAGCGAAACAGAAGCTGTTTCTGTTTCTGTCTACACCTACACCCCCTCCCGGGGGCGTAGGCAGGGGGCGTGGCAGCTTCTGGGGGATCTGTCGGGGTGCCATTTACAAGGAGCAAAGGATTTATGATGCCTGTTATCGCGCCCCGAACGCGAAGGACGCACAGCAGGCAAAAACGATGACAAAAGGTGCCCATGGAGGGGGGGAAAACCGGGAAAAACAAGGGAAAACTCCAAGCGAGTGGGGTGTTTTAGGGTGAAAGGGCTGGGAAAAATCAGCAATGGCGTGGAAGGCAGATATAATCTCATACGCAGCAAATAAAATATGTACGAAAAAACAGAGCATACTTTTTTGGCCATTTAATTGAAGCAAAATTTCAATGGGTCAAAGGTGATGAAAATTCTTTAGGGTATTTTCAAAAACACCAAGTTTAATTATGTCTACTTAAAATTAGTAAATTTAAGATTACATTTATTAAAAATAAATTAAAAATAGTAATTTGCAAAAAATATATTTAATGGGCCAACATTTTTTTAAATTTTATGAAACACGTTTGCAACACATTAAATAGCTTACATTAAAAAAGCAACAAAGAAAAACAAAATATGGAATTATTAATAAATGGGGATAATTTTTAGCCATTTTAAAACTCTTAACTTGGCAGCACTGGCCAAATTAAGTCTACAAGTGTTAAACAGAAAATTTAATAGCTCAAAAGGGGAGTGAAGAGGACTGAAAAGGGTTATTCTCTTTTTTGGGGGCAGCCATAAACACATGTGTTCGTTCACTTGAAGCGCAAATTGGAAACCCTCGGGGGCTGAGCTTTTCACCCCCTCCAATTAATCGTGACTTTATGGGGTTATTTATCTCAGCCAACACCCACTGTGACCTTGAGTGTTGCCATCAAATTTGCATTAATTAAATTAAATTCCCATGCCAAAAAGAAAATCTAGCGTCTAATTAAAGACCCAAAAAACCGTTTGCCCATTTAGCAGAGGCTAAAAGTATCTATTACTGAATTTTAGTGGGGCTCTTACCGCGCCAACCTCCTAAATTAGTCAATAAATTAAGGCAGCCAGAAAGTTGCTGTTTTGCCGCTTCCGCTCGCTCTTTCCTAACGAGCCAAAAACCATTGCATTAAAAAAACCATTCATTAAAATGGCGAAATGTGGCGCTTGAATTTATGGCTTAAAAGGCAGGGAGACCTGTGCGTCTCAAGTGGCAAAAAAAAAAAAAAAAAGAAACAGAAGCAGCAGCAGCTTCCTCATTCAGAACGGTTCAAATCTTTAACCGGAGGTTCGCCTGGAATTCCCTCGACTCCTTTGCTTTTTACCGCAGAAAAGTGAAGAATAAAACTAGCAGGTGGGCGTGGTCCAAGTGAAGTATTTTTGATACCCTCTCTTGTGATTTTTCTATTCTTTTTGGTATAAAGATTTAACCTTTGTTGTCTAACATTAACCTTAACTTTCGGTTAAATATATTTTTAACATTCCTTGAAATACGTAAGGGGCAATAATACTTGTTTTGTATTTCTTGAAACAAATTTAAATGTGATAAACACTTTTACTAACCACAACTAAAAAAAAGTATTTGTTCTTAAAAAATAAAATGTGGAATAAATAAATTTAAAGATTATAAACAAGTAATATAAAATATGTAACAACATTTACAATAAACTTTTAAGCATCTGTACCCATAGATAAGATTAACCTACAATTAGGTGTTAATATTTTTTTCAAGATTTAGTACATTTATGAACATTCTAACACATTTTTATAATGGGTATTATGTTGACAGTACTGTGTGCAGATTTTGTCCTGTATTTAGGCAGGAGGTCGAAGAGTGATGGGACCCACAGGCCCCACAGTTCAATGCGCTC